AAGATACCTTTAAATCATTAACAGGAATCATTGGTCCTTCAAACAGAGCTCAGTATTTAAAAATTACTAAATCTGTATGATGGAATGTCCCCTGGGGTGGTCACTGAGTCTAGTCCAGTCACTGCTTAAATGGGTCTTTATCTCATTCCTGAAGTTATTTAGGGAACAGGAGTCTTCCTCTTCATACCAGTTTTTACCTCTTGAGAAAAGTTTCAGCACTTGTCCCATAATTATGCATTTTCACAGATCAAGGACATTTCCAGGGTAAATACGTAGGGAGTCTCCAAGCGCAGTAACAAGCTGGATGACATGTTCTCTGACCTAACCATGAGCAGGGAAGCTGTGAGGATGGAATGGCTCCTCCCATCTCCATGAATCCTTAAACCCCTTCAATTCACTAACTTGCACTGTAAGGTCTTGGGATGGTAGAGAGCCCTGGCCTGGGAGCTCCTCCCCAGGAATTTAGAACAAGGATCACGAGAGACTCTGGGTCTCTCTTCATGGCCTGTTAACTCCGACACTGTTGGCTGCCCTATTTCCAGACATGAGGAGCAGAGGGAGCTGGTCTGCAGAGACACACAGAGGGAAGCTAACCATGGGGAAGCCAGCGGTGTCTGGGTTAGTTCCTGAAGACCCTGGGGCCTCTCAGGCTCTCCTGAACCCTTATAATACCTCCTTCTTTCTAAACTGGCTCAAACTGTTTTCTGTTACTTGCAACTTACATATGTATATAATATATATATATAATATATATAATATATAATATATATATATCTTTATTGATTTCAGAGAGAGGAAAGGAGAGGGAGAGAGAGAGAGAAACATCAATGATGAGAGAGTCATTGATCAGCCGCCTCCTGCACGCCCCCGACTNATATATAATATATATATCTTTATTGATTTCAGAGAGAGGAAAGGAGAGGGAGAGAGAGATAGAAACATCAATGATGAGAGAGTCATTGATCAGCCGCCTCCTGCACGCCCCCGACTGGGGATCAAGCCCGCAACCCGGGCATGTGCCCTGACTGGGAATCTAACCCTGATAGCCTGTTTGACTCAACAGACAGAGGACAAGGCCCAAGTCGTAGAGAATGTATGAGAGGGCCAGAGCCACTTAAAATAGTACAGAGTCCTTTTGGCTTTAAAATAAAATTGGATCAAAAGACTGGCCTTTCTATNAGCCTGTTTGACTCAACAGACAGAGGACAAGGCCCAAGTCATAGAGAATGTATAAGAGGGCCAGAGCCACTTAAAATAGTACACAGTCCTTTTGGCTTTAAAATAAAATTGGATCAAAAGACTGGCCTTTCTATAGTGTCTTTTCTTTTACATCTTGGTGCAAGTGCTGAAGGCCCCTTCTGATATTTTGCTGATAGGCCCCACACTTAGACACACTCTCCTGATATCTGTGGTTTCCTACGTGCTTGGGCTGTGGGCAGCTTTCAGTCTATTTTCAGTTATCTTGGGGAGCAACAGATAATGCACATAAGTGGCAAATTAAATCCACAGATGATAATTTTAGAATCTAATTTTGGCCACCCCTTCCCACCCAGTTACTTGTCAAAACTACTTAGAAAGCCTGAATTAACTGATTTGGTTCTTTCTTCCCTTGATGCCTTTGTTAGACTGCAAATGAACCAAGTGAAGACCAAAAGGCATGTAGCAGGAGGGAGAAAGTAAAGAATGTGAATAATCTACATGATGAACACACAAACTCTAGTTAATCTAGAAAATTAACCGTGTGAGAGGGCTTAGTCTTCCATTCTGACTTTCATACCTGACTGAAAATGGTCTTATTCTGGGAAAGTTACTCATAGTTCCTGTGTAAAATCAGGAATGAAAGCACCCTTTACTTCCTTTACTAACTGTATTAGTATAAGTACAATGCACAGATTTTATATAATAAAGGACTAATCAAAATACTGAACACTCACAGCTCAGGTGGCCCTCTCAGCTCCCCAGTCTTCCTTCTAGAGATATGAAGCATGTCATCACTAGCCAACCAGAGGGCAGGGATTTCCAATAAAGACAGACAATCCATGTTCTGCAGCATCTCAGCCAGAAGTGGTGACAGTTATTTTAAATTTTTTTACATATTCCATGCTTCAAGTACCTCTCCATCTCCATCCAAAGTTAATGAAAAACATCCATTCCTGTGTGCATGGGTGTGTGTGAGTGCGTGAGCACACACCCACACGCACACCCTCCATGCACACACACACATACAGAGGGTCTCCCAAAATACCTAGAACCCGTTCAGTGGAGGCTGGCAATGCATCAGAGCCTGTGTGAAGACAGAAATAACTATTTTTTCCACCCTTTTGGGATGATGTGGCTCACTGCCCAAGGAATAGTGTTCTTTCTTGATAATCTACTGCTGCTGTCAGATCCCTATCTTGTGGAGCAATCTCAACCACAGGTGTCTTGCTAGTTCTTGGAACTCCAGCGGATAACAAAGCTTAAGTGAGAAAGTAATGATTTAAGATAGGAAGCAGGGCAGAATTTCAGAAGCAATATCTAATTTGGTGGGGTTTTGCGTGTGTGTGTGTGTGTGTGTTGAGAGGGAGAGGGAGAGGGAGAGAGAGAAACATCGATGTGAGAAAGAAACATTGATTGGCTGCCTCCTGCATGTGCCCTATCAGGGATCCCACAACCCAAGCATGTGCCCTGACTGGGAATCAAACCCGCAACCCTTTGGTGCACGGGACAATGCCCAACCGAGCCATACCAGCCAGGGTGAGTTTTACTATAAGCAGCAAGTTTTGTTTTTCACTTCAAAGAATGGAGAGTGGATGACCGCTGAAAGAGTTCTGCAAATTAGGATTTCCAATCCACGTTCTTGAGACTTTCATCAGAATACCTTTATAAACAGAGGCCGGCCCTGATCTTCACTCTGGCTGTGACTGCCTTCCTCCCCTCCCACCTACTTTTATACGGAGACAGTCAGGCGTACCTTTTTCCTAATTCTGTCTTGAAGACAAGGTGAATACATGCAGACGAACAGCTAAGCAAATATTGCCCTGTTACGTTCGTAATGGATCTGCAGGCTCCACTTGCCAGTCCCAGGCAGAGGACAGAGGTGGAACATTCCCAGGCAAGTCAGTTCTGTCTTGTGCCACATGCCCTTTCCCTTCTCCTCTGAAAGGCTCCCTGGAATGGCTAGGACTGCTTGGTCCAGGCATTACATCCAATGCAATGACCTTTCAATTAGACTACATGTTAACAATAATACATGTCAGCTACTAGGGAATCCTGCACGGGGTGGCCCAGTGGGCTGGGAATCAGGACCTGACTGCCTGTCTCCTTGCCGATCATGGGCTAGCTCTAATGACAATAGGTCCAGTGCAGTCTTTAGACCACCAGCTTGTTGTCTCAGGCCCTCGGTAAAGGTGCAGACAGTCGTCCCAGCTCCACCCCAGACCAAATAAAATTTTCTGGTATTGGAGGCCTAGGATTCTGCATTTTTATAGCACACTAAGGTTTGGGACCTACTCAAGATTTGGAGGTCCTTATCTGGAAACTCGGGAGCTGGAGGCCTGACTGTCATGTTGTCTTCCTGCTCTAACATTCTGTGGCTCTGGGCAGAAGCTCATTTTTTCTAGCTCGGTCTCCGTATTCTCCAGCCACATTCCTACTGGTCACTTCACAGACAATTGCCAATTCACTGTGATTTAACAAGCATATGACAATAACTATAACTTCATCCCAACCTATTTTGAAAACTAAGTATTTCCTAACCCTGGCTGTTGGTGGATATAACAGTCACATTGGTATCTGAACATATGACTTGTTCCCCACATCAGAAACATTCAAAACTTATGCCATCCCCTCAGCACAATAGGGATGGGCCATCTCCCTTCACAAACACTTTTTAGGATTGTGGACAAGTCACTCTCAACTAATTTCCTGTAGTTACTAATGATGAGTTGGATTTCAGCTCTTAAAACACTTTGAGTGATATAAAGTAAATCTCCACGCCTCCCCACGCGACGTGGCAAAGAGCAATAATGCCAGCCAGTGTTTCAAAACCTGTATTATCACTGCTGAGCTATGTGGCCAGTTAGTTTGTTTGGTTAAATGCTGACCAATGAAGCCAAGGACATGGTTTTGATCTTTTGTAGGCCACCTAATTTCAATCACTTTCTTTCATGGACCACTCATCTTGAAAATGTTGACCAAAGGAGTCTGAGTAAGAGTGTGAAGAACAGTTACCGGTAAAATAACCCTGCGTCTGATAGTCTTTGATGTCAAATCAGAAGGTTCCCCTTTAGATACTAAAGACACAAATAGTATATATAGCCATGGACCCTCAGGCAGATGTGTTCATTATAACTCAAGTTAATTCTATAATTCCATTATTTTCCCAGAAATAAACTTTTCTAGAATAAAACGGGTGTCTATAAGTGGTTACTGGCTCACCTGAAGGCTGGTCACGCACACCAGTGCAGCCCGAGTCAATGTCTCTCCCAGTAACGCCTTCCTCCCTCTCTAGGATATAACAGCTCCTTCCTGGATCCCCGAGCTCTGCCTTACTCTCTCTCCTGGCCCCAGTTACTGGAGTTCAAAACTGGAGTTGGCAATTTACAGAATCCTGCAGAAAGCATCCCTATTGCCTGTGCTTTTCCAAGGACCCAGCGAACAAATCAGGGTTTACCTGGTAGGCTGTAAATGGAGTTAGAAGGGAAAGGAAAGGTAAATGTGAGATTTAAACTTAAATCTCTGAATTCTTTTGTTCATAATAGTAATATGAATAGCTACCATTTATTGAGTATTTAACTTTGTGTTAGCCCTTGGGGACAGCACTTAAATGCATTACCTTATTTAATTCTTATAACATTCTCCCGTCCCTGTCCCTGATCACCGAACTAGAGCTCTGAAAAGTCTCCATTTCCTTGCCCTCTTCCATATGTGTACCATGTAGCAGGGTTCTAAGGATTAGGTCAAAAATAAGAGGAGACTCATAAAAGATAATCATGTGTCCAAATAAGGAAAGGGAGGGAAACTTCAATGAAGGGTATTTAATGTCAGAGAGAAACTGTACATCTGGGGCAAAGATGAAGAGACCACGCCAGGCCAGCCGAGCCTGACCTAGCTATGCATCCTGTCATTCATGAGGCCTCCACTGACGGAGGAGGTGACAGCAGCAGCATCACAAGGTTCCTCTCCCCGGGTGGGAGCACAGTGCAACGTTCACTCAGTCCAGTTATGTGCCCGGCTTTCTGCAGCTCAGGCACAAATATTCAGTCCATGTCCATGTCTTTCCTAATATGTCAGGCCAAATGGCTCCCTTTCCTCCTGGTGCAGGGAACTTGTGGCAGGAGCTAGTGAACTGTGGAGGAAAAGTAATTCTCACTGGAAAGACAGGCCTGGGGAGGTGTGTGTCCCTCTGTAGTCACGGGTCAGAGATGACATTGGATGGCTCCTCATTTCTGCAAGTATGCGCACAAATGAAAAGGTAGGAAAGCACTGGCCCTCTCACAGAACCCATCAATATTCTGAGCAAGACCCTGAAGACTTCAAGGTTTAAGCTGAGTTCCTGCCACCTGCCACAGGGCCTCTTGGGCCAAGGCTGGGGTCACAGGGCGGTCATCCACCCTGCAAAGACTCCAGACTTCCAGACAAAATCATCTCTCCATCTACCCACCACCTCTCTCCTCAAGGCCATGGTGGATAGACAGTGAATATTCCTAAGTCCCTACATCCTGAGAGTCCCCACCGGAGGGAGGGAAAAAGACCTTTGTCCCACCCCCTGGGAGCTGAGAACCAGCAATGTCCAATCCTCAAAGATCTCTAGCGTCTCTTAAATAAGCTTTTCCTTTCCGTTTTCATCTTTTAATTATTTATCATCCATCCATTCATTTATACAAATATAAAATATATTTATATAGATTTATATAATATAATCTTCTGTGAGGCAGAGCGGAGAGGAGGCCAGGAGCGTGGCCCCGGCTACTTGCAGACGTGCTGGTCGATGACCTCCGTGCACTTCCTGCACTTGACGAAGCAGCACCAGTGGAACTTGCAGTGGCAGCGCTCCACCTGGACGCTCTTGAACTGGTCGTAGCCGCGGCCGCAGCACATGAGCTCGCAGCCGTCCATGCCCTCCGAGGTCTTGTTGCACAGGCGGCCCTGGGTGCCCAGGGAGCCCGTGGTCTCGTTGCGCAGGCAGTAGTCGGGGCTGGGGTCCACGTACACCAGGTCCTCGGGGGTGGGCTGGTTGAAGCGGCTGTTGACCAGCTCCAGCTTGCCCTTGCGGGTGATGCGCATGGCCGCCGCGCTGTCGTATTTCTCCTTCAGCTGGTCCCCCACCTTGCGGAACTCAGCCAGCTGCAGCCAGCAGGTCTTGAGGCTGCAGGACCCAGAGACGCCGTGGCATTTGCAGGCTACGTCTGCCATCTTATACACAGCCTAGGGGGAGGACAAAGAAGGAAATAAGAAGGCGAGCCCCTGATGGAAGATGTCAAGAGGGTGGCTACAGCGGCCATGGCCAAGTATAGAAGGGGGCTGGTGGGGAGGAGGAGGCGTTTTCAATTGTAGACGGAGACCTTTCCAGGATCCTCGGTTGCTCAGATTGACAGCAAATAAAGGAGCACTACAAAGAAACATGCCGGCCCTGGCTGGTTTGGCTCAGTGGTCAGAGCATTGCCCCATGGACTACAGGGTCCTGGGTTTGATTCTGGCCCAGGGCACATACCTCGGTTTGCAGGCTCATCCCCAGCCCTGGTCAGGGCACGTGCAGGAGGCAACCAATGTCTCTCTTTCACATCGATGTTTCTCTGTGTGCGTGTGTGTGTGTGTGTGTGTGTGTGTGTCTGAAAAGCAATGGAAAAAATANGTGTGCGTGCGTGCGTGTGTGTGTGTGTGTGTGTGTGTGTGTGTCTGAAAAGCAATGGGAAAAATATCCTCAGGTGAGGATTAAAAAAAAAGAAACATGCTGGCAAGCATGCAGCGGTCTGACCCGTGACAAGGGCAGCATGGGGCACTCGCATTNGCTGGCGAGCATGCAGCGGTCTGACCCGTGACAAGGGCAGCATGGGGCACTCGCATTTCCTACTTTATCCATTTCTTATTACTTGAAATTTGTCACAATAAATGTGTCAGAAAACAGGATATTTCTATCTTGATCTGAAACAAATAAAAACCAACAAAATGTGTCCAGCTTTCCTATGATGTGGAGCAAGTCAGAATCCAGCCGAATTACAAGCTATAACAGAAACTGCTAGCAGGGCCCTGGTTAGCCAAAGCTTTCCCAGTCCTGCCACATCTCCTAAGGATTCAATAGTCATTAACTCAATAGAGTTGTCAGGAGCCTCACCACAGACCACATAATATCTGATAGTCCTGGGAGAGGCGGTGACAGTGGAGGGAAAGGGGTGAGGCCTGTGCAATGGAGGAGCAGGTCAGCGGGTCCACCTATAGGGGTGATTCATTTGAAATCAAATCCACCCCGGAAGCAAGAGTAGACTAGAAAGCTGCTTGGGAAGTGCTTTCCAGTGAAAGCACACTGATGCATTGTGTCAAATCACCCTGGCAGGGGGCCCAGATTGCAGATGGCAGGATAAAAACGCAAGGCCGCTGCAGAACATTTTTCTATGCTACAGCTATTATCACCGAGTAGGTACTGATTTGTCGAGACTTTTTCTCAGATTTCTCTTCAAGAGGCCCAAGATTGTGTCTTTATTCAGCATTAGGCAGAGATCACTGCAGGTACAAGAAATAGCTTATCCATCAACATATTACTGTCGTCCAACTCTTCGGGATCTTTTTTTCTGGTATGGAATTATTCCCACTATTTTATGATGGAAAAACTGAAGTTCTAGAGAGCCTCAGTGAGCTGTTCCAGGCCACCCAGAAGGCATTCAGAATGTCTAGCACTTCTGCACTCCAGTCTTGGGGCTTAAAAACAGCTTAGGGTAAAGAAGGAAGGCAAGCTCCTCCCCAAAGTTAAAGGCACCCACACTTGGCTAGCAGCTCCAGGCCCAAGGCATAAAGGAGCCAATGCCCCATTCCAACAGGCACTTCAAAGACAGGGCCTGCAATTACCCTTCTGGCGCAAATCCCCAGGTCTGAGCTGGAGCCTGACATTCTTCTGGAAATGGTCCTTAGACAGGGATGTCAGGCATCTGGCGATGCTGGAAGGAGGAAGCATTAAGGGCCTAAAACTGTGTACCTTGCTGCTAAGTGACTAAGGAAACAGGATAAGCATCTCCACTGGGAGCAAACACTTAGGGGAGATTTGGGGAAAAAGAGTCAAAGCAAGAGCTCAAAGAGTAAGGATAGGAATTTTAGTAAAACAAATCCAAGAGGAAGAGTGTCACTGATCCTCACTATTTAGATATTCATTCCATCCTTTCTCTAGGGAGAAAGACATTGTAGAGACATAATATCTGTATTTTAAAATACTTTACTATTAATAATATATAAGTTAATCTTGTAGGAAAAGGGAGGGAATCCCAATTTTTGGCCCTCCCTCTTACTGAAAAGCAATAAAATGTTTTTTAAAATGTTTTTAGTTCTACATCTTGCCCCTGGCAAAGCCCTCTTTAAGTCCCTCACTTCTATCTAATGGTGTGACTGAGCTTGATGACTGACAGGAATGTCACAAGGATTAGGCAGCTTTATTCTGGAAAATGCTTGGAAGCCCTTGAGTGACAAGGCAGTTATCAACCCACTGCTCTTGCCGTCAATATCTAAAATGGAGTTACTAGAGGCTCTTAAAAGCCAAGAGAAATTTCTTGCAAAGTATGCATAAGATTTATTCTCTGGTCAAGATGTCAAATCCTAGATATAATGATTTTTTTTTTTTTTTAATGCCTATTGATTTCAGAGAGAGGATTGGTGGGGACAGAGAGAGAGAAATATCAATGATGAGAGAGTCATTGATTGCCTACCTCCTGCACGCCCCCTACTGGGGATTGAGCCCGCAACCCAGGCATGTGCCCTGGCCAGGAATCAAACCTTGATTTCCTGAATCATAGGTTGATGCTGAACTGCTGAGCCATGCCAGTCAGGCAAGATATTCTGATTTTTTAAAAACATTTTATTTATTGACTTTAGAGAGTCAGAAGGGGGGAGGGGGGAGAGAGAGAGAGAGACGTTGATTTGTTGTTCCACTTATTTACGCATTCATTGTTTGATTCTTGTACGTGTCCTGACCAGGGATCAAACCTGCAACCTTGGTGTATCGGGATGATGCTCTAACCAACTGAACTACATGGCCAGGGATTTTTTTTTTTTTTTTAATTTGGTTGTAAAATACTTGATCTGGGAATTTTCCATCCCTGCCACCATTTATTTATTTATTTTTGTGTTTTGTTGTATGTGTGTTTTTTTACAATGCTCAACTTACTGAGCCACACTGGCTCTTTTTATTGATTTTAGAAAGAGAGGAAGGGGAGGGAGAGAGAAAGAGAAACATTGATGTGAGAGAAAAACATCTATCTGCTGCCTCCTGCATCCGCCCCTACTACTGGGGAATGTGCCTTCAACCCAGGCATGTGCCTGACCAGGAATTGAACTGGTGACCTTTTGGTGCATGGATGATGCTCAACCAACTGAGCCACGCCAGCCATGGCCCTGTCACCATTTAGTCCTTCCTGTGAAACTTTTTTTCCCCCCCCAATATATCCTTATTGATTCCGGAGAGAGGAAGGGAGAGGGAGAGAGAGAGAGATAGAAGCATCAGTGATGAGAGAGTCATTGATCGGCTGCCCCCCGCATGTCCCCCATTGGGGATTGAGCCCACAACCCGGGCCTGTGCCCTGACTGGGAATCGAACCTCGATCTCCCGGATCCTAGGTCGACGCTAAACCGCCGAGCCACGCCCGGCCGGGCCCTGTGAAACTTTTTATGTAGGTGTGAGGAGTTGGGAGGTGAATGCTTCCGGCCTCAGATGATGATTATTGGCCAACGCCTGTTCCTTGGGAACAGAGTAAAAAATAGAGGGACAAGAATTCCCAACCTGAGGGATTCAAGATGGTGGTGGCCCGGCCAGGCGTGGCCCAGCGGTTGAGCATCAACCTAGGATCCAGGAGATCGGGGTTCGATTCCTGGTCAGGGCACATGCCCGGGTTGTGGGCTGCAGCCAATCAGTGACTCTCTCATCACTGATGTTTCTGTCTCTCTCTCTTCCTCTCCCTTCCTCTCTCTGAAATCAATAAAGATATATTTTTTAAAAAAAGATGGAGGTGGAGTAGGTGGATGTTACACTCACCTCCTCCCAGGACCAAACTGAAGTACAATTAAAATACATAGCAAGCAGCCCTGGATGGTGTTGCTCAGTGGTTAGAGCGCTGCCCTGTGCACCAAAGTGTCATGGGTTTGATTCCTGGTCAAGAGCATGTACCTGGGTTGTAGGTTTGATCCCCAGACCCAGTTGGGGCACATGTGGGAGGCAATCAATCGATGCATCTCTCTCACATCGATGTTTCTCTCTCTCTTCTCTCTCTCTCTCTTTCTCTCTCCCTCCTCCTTCCCTTTCATTCTCTCTAAAAATCAATGGAAAAAATATTCTCAAGTGAGGATATTATATATATATATACATACATATATACATATATATATAGCGAGAGAGAGAGAGAGCACGCAAGCAACTTGAATAACCAACTGAAGACTAGTTGAAGAGAAGTCTGATAACCAAGGATTTGCAAAAGAAGCCACAACGAGACTAGAGGAAGGGTGGAGACACGAAGAGTGCTGGCCCAGCTACCATGGTGGTGGTTGATTTGAGAGGGATATCTAAGCTGCGGGGGTTCCCCCTGAGAAGCATGGAGTCTCAACTCCAAGCAGGGCCCTCCAGCCCAGATCACCAGAGCCAGGAAGAGGCACCCACATAACATCTACCTATGAAAATCAGCAGGGATTCTGTCTGCCAGGGAGAGACAGGAGTCTGCTTGAGACACGGGAGGCCTCTTAAAGAGCCAATGCACCAAATCTCATTTGCAGGCACTTACCCTGGGTTCTAGTAGAGGGAAGGTAGAGCAGACTAGAGTTGTGTGAAGAGAAACTGGGATTTGTGGCCCTGAGGAGAGAGCTGAAGGGAAAGTACCCAGTATCCCTGTGCCAAGCCACTCTCCCACACTGCAGACACCATCTTTCTTGGGTGGAACTCTCCCTTCCACATAGCATCAGCCTGGGGGAAAGCACTAGCCCCACCCTCTGGACACCATCTCACCCCACCCTTTGGAGCTTGAGCCCTGCTGAGGAGTTAGCTGCCTGAGCCAGGTTGTAGAGGTCTGGCAGACGCATGGGATGTCAGTGACTGAGTTGTGTGGCTTTGAGGCAGGGGCCATTCCCACTACTTTTCCATGAACCTTACTGGTGCCTCCACCTCATGGAAGATCCACTAGCCCCACTCTCTGGGCTCCTAGTGGCACTACCCTCTCAACTTCCAATGGCCCCACCCAGCT